TTATTAATATTATTACTATTATTACAGTATTATTAATATTATTACTATTATTATAGTGTTATTAATATTACTATTATTACATTATTATTATAGTACTATACATAGCGTTATTAAATGTAGTATTATCACAGCATTATTATTATTATATTACTATAGTACTACGGTATTTCGGTATTTCGCTTTCTACAGAAATGATGAAAGAACGACCGAAAAAATACCGGCACAATGGCGGCATCGGTCTCTGATTGTTATTGCCCGGCGAACTCGTGAAATCGCGCGGAAGTGGTATCGAATGCGATTCGGCTGCGCTTGTTGTCCCGTTATCGATCGGTTGGTGTCGCCGGGTTCCCGATTATAGACATTGCCCGGAGCACAATAGGGTGTTGTTTGCTTGCCACGGCGCCGATTTGATACGAAATTCGCGAGTGGGAGACAAATCGATAGGGAACAGATAGCGCGCGCCTGCCGACTGTGTCGCCGTTAGAGACGTCCGGCAACGGGCAGACGAATAATACTGTGTGTTTCCACGAGCTACGCGTGTGCACGCCCACGCTTCCAGTAGAAACGGCCAGCAATGGGCACGGCCGGGCGGCATTGTTTTCTACGTTCGCACGCCGCGGATCGAGTAGAAACGGTCGATAAACGCGGACACGTGAGGACGGCGTTGCCGGCCGCTTTCTTTCGGACGCTAACGATTGCTAACAATTGCTGAAATGATTCCTGGGGGAACGGGACGTTAATTCTGCCCTCTCGTCCGATTACAGTAATTTTACGGTATTTTTACAGTAATTCTGCAGTAATTTTGCAGTAATTTTGCAGTAATTCTACCCTTTAATCCGATTACAGTAATTTTACAGTAATTTTGCTGTAATTTTGCAGTAATTTTGCTGTAATTATGCAGTAATTTTGCTGTAATTATGCAGTAATTCTACCCTCTAGTCCGATTACAGTAATTTTGTAGTAATTTTGCAGTAATTCTACCTTCTAGTCCGATTACAGTAATTTTGCAGTAATTTAGCAGCAATTTTGCAGTAATTTTACGGTAATTTTACAGTAATTTTGCAGTAATTTTGCTGTAATTATGCAGTAATTTTGCAGTAATTCTACCCTCTAGTCCAATTACAGTAATTTTGCAGTAATTCTACCTTCTAGTTCGATTACAGTAATTTTGCAGTAATTTAGCAGCAATTTTGCAGTAATTTTACGGTAATTTTACAGTAATTTTACAGTAATTTTGCTGTAATTATGCAGTAATTTTGCAGTAATTCTACCCTCTAGTCCAATTACAGTAATTTTGCAGTAATTCTACCTTCTAGTTCGATTACAGTAATTTTGCAGTAATTTAGCAGCAATTTTGCAGTAATTTTACGGTAATTTTACAGTAATTTTACAGTAATTTTGCAGTAATTTTGCAGTGATTTTGCAGTAATTTTGCAGTAATTTTTGCGCTGATTCGCGCTCGAAAAACTGCACAATGTGAGGAAGAGGAGACGCGATTATTCGAGCCCTGCGGCTCGTTTTTTCATAGTTACCGATCGTCGACAACTATCTGAGCGGAATCCGAGCGCGAATTAGGGTGAAATTGCTGCGGTTGCGTTCGGCAATGGACTTGGAATAGTATTACAGTAATGTCTCTCTAATTGACGCTCAGATTGTTCGAGCCTTGTGGCTCGTTTTTATAGTTGTCGAGAATCGGTAATTAGAGACTCAAATTAATCATATCTCCTCTTCTGAAATTGTTCATTTTTTTTTTGACAATCCGAGCGTCAGTTAGGGAGACATTACTGTACAGTGAATTCTCCCTAATTGACGCTCGGACTGTACACAAAATAAAGAAATACGATTGTTCGAGCCTCGCGGCTCGTTTTTATAGTTGTTGAGAATCGGTAATTATAAAAACAAGGCATGCAAAACTCAAATTAATCGTATCTTCTCTTCCGAAATTGTCCATTTCTGCGCACAATCCGAGCGTCAGTTAGAGAGACATTGCTGTACACTGAATTCTCCCTAATCGACTCTCAAATTGTGCACGAGAATGGACCTTTTGAAAAGAAAACTATAAGAAATTACTATAAAACTATAAAACTGAGTCGCAAAGCTCGAATAATCGTATCTGCTCTTCCCAAGTTGTCCATTTTTTTGGACAATCGGAGCGTCAATTAGGGGGACATTACTGTATTTAGTTCGAGAAACCGGGACAACGCGCGCGGTCTATTTCGAGTAGAAACAGTTGGCAATAAGCGATCCGCGTTCGACTCGAGTAGAATCGGTCCGTAATAGGCGGACCGCGGAGGAGAGAATCGCGGCGTTACAACTCTAGACAGAATTAGATTAGTCTCGAGTAGAAACAGCGCGCTATAAACAAACCGTCCGCGTTCGGTTCGAATAGAATCGGCCGTCATCGGCGGCGCGTAAACTTCGAACAAACGCGCGCGAAACCGCCCGAGAGAGAGAAAGAGAGAGAGAGAGAGAGAGAGAGAGAGAGAGAGTATCGCGGTGACAGACGAATGGAGAAGAATCGGGCCGAATCGCGCGTTAACGTTCGCGTTCGAAATAGAAAACGATACGCCGAGCCGGCCTCGCGGTCGCGATTATCGAACGCCGCACAGTGGGCCGGATCGAAGATTTTAGTGACTTTTTGAGAAAAACCTGATTTTCTCATATCGATGTCCAGTGAATTTGTATCGCTTGTTAAATATCCATTACCCTCGAAAGTGGAAATATTAGTAAAAATGATCGTAAATTGTAACAGATGCGACAATTTAAAGTTGAACATTTCGAACGCTACATTCGACGCTAAAAAGTATGCTTCTTTTCCTCGCAATGTCGACGAACCTAATTAATTTCTTCCTTTGCTTTCTATTTTAACATTAGGAGGCAATACTTCTCGTTAGGAAACAGTAGCTTGAATTAAGATTATCGTATCCTATGTATGAAAAATATGATGTTCAATAAAATAGAAAAAGTGTAAAAATTCTTTACATTCGACAAGGAATATCTTTTGACACCCAAGAAATCACGGTTTCGGACAAACAGAATACTTTCAGGATACTTTCCTCTAGGTAATTCTGTACAAGTTACATACCAAGACGAACGAGATTGCAAATTATTACGTTTTAAAGGTATCGACGTTACGTTACTTCGAGATTCAAGATATCGAAGATAATCTCTCTGTGTTCCAGTCGATATTACAGCACGCTTCTTCGTCTGTAAATCGACAGATATTTAAAATGTTTAATTATTCCATACAACATGAAAAATATAAGTAAACGAAACAAACTTTGTAACATTACAATACTAACGTACCTGGAATTACCAGTGGGTCCTCGTAACCAACGCGGGTGCAATAAAGTACGCGTCCCAGAAAAGGTTCTCTGTACGCGTTGTACGCAGTTGGTAAATTTCAACAGTTCGAACTTTTGATAAAACGTAGAGCACGTTAATTAATCTTACCATCTTGTTATTGTTTCAATAAATCTGCAGCTTCAGGATTTAATGCATACAGAAACCTTCTTCTGGGACGCGTACTTTATTGCACCCACACTGGTTACGAGGACCCGCTAGTAATTCCAGGTACGTTACTTTGTAACATTATATTTAAACAATTTTGTTTTTCACAAAAGATGTCAATGAAAATTAATTAAAAATTATCGTTTAACAAATGCAAAAAGAAATTTAATTATCTATAGCTGGACAATATATTATTATATTATATTATATTATTATATTAATATATTATATTATATTATATTATTATATTAATATATTATATTATATTAATATATTATATTATATTATATTATATTATATTATATTATTATATTACTTGTTATATTAATTATATTATATTATTATTATATAACAAAATATTTTGGCGAAAATTTCATTGCGATATCTTCGACGGTTCAAAAGTTATAACAGAATGTCACTGAATTTCTCGATCCAGCCCCCACTGTGCGCCGGTTGCCGCTCTCCTCGAAACATTAAAATACGAAGCCCCGTCCCACGCGCCCCGCCGCCAATATTCGCTGCGGCGCGGCGCGGCGCGACGCGGCGTTTTGGCCACGCGACCAACTTTCCGGGACAACTCTTTTCCACGCAGGTGCGATAACTGTCGCGCGAGTCGCGCGCTCGCTGAAATATCGCCGAGCCAGCGCGCCAAGCCGGTTTCTATTATTGCGACACGCGCAACCCCCCGCGCGCGCGGCCCGCGGCAGAACGCAACCCCCCCGAGCCATCGCGGAAATCGTTAGCGTCGCGGATCGAAAACGCGGCTCGCGGCCGCCGTTATATACAATGTTGCGCAAACGTCGAACGCGGAGCCAATTCCTGCAAAAACTCTTCGGGGAGGACCGTTTGTTTCTTCGGCGAGAACGATCGCCGGACACGATTAACACACTCGCACTCACACACACACACATATACGTACGCATATACGTACCTTGATCGTTTTATTCTGCAGACGGAGGCCGTTGAGCGTGTTGATCGCCTTCTCGGCATCCTCCGGCCGATGATAGTTGACGAAACCGTAACCCAGGCTTTGTCCTGTAACACGAAAATCACGGAGAAACGGTCAGGAGATCGTCGGTTGGATGATTCGAACGTACGAGATCGCTACACGATCGCGTGCAACGATTTATTATCGATCGTTTTCGCGGCTCGAATACATTCTTCGGGCACGCAGCTGTTATTACGGTTTATGGTTCATCATACTGTTCAACCTAATTCCGTTTCTATTATTGTTTGGTGTTTTTTTGGCATATGCTTTTGTGCTCGGCGAGATCTGTCGGCCTGTTGTGTCAAGGTTAGGATACACTTTTTCGTATTCTTGTTCTTACTTTGTGTTGTGTGCGATGTATTATGCATTTATATGTTATTTATACATTATATATTTTATATATTATTTATAAATTATACATTATTATATATTATATATTTTATATATTGTATATATTATTTATATATTATACATTATATATTTATACATTATACATTATATATTTATGCACTATATAATTATATATTATATATTTTATATATTGTATATATTATTTATACATTATACATTATACATTTATACACTACATAATTATATATTATATATTTTATATATTGTATATATTATTTATACATTATACATTATACATTTATACACTACATAATTATATATTATATATTTTATATATTGTATATATTATTTATACATTATACATTATACATTTATACACTACATAATTATATATTATATATTTTATATATTGTATATATTATTTATACATTATACATTTATATATTTATATATTTTATATAGTATATATATTTATACATTTTATATATTATATATATTTATTATACATATGTTATATGTATATGTTATATGTTTATATGCGTGTATTTATACGTGTGTACAAATCCAACTAATTTCGATATTTTTCTCTTTTTCGTCCCGTTTTCCTTTTCCTTTCTCTCTCTTTATTTGTACTCACGCGATTGCTATATAAAATCACTCTATTCGTTATTAATTTTTCCATAACAAATGGTTTTTTTAGTCTATACAAGAATCTGTTATTATTATTATTATTATTATTATTATTATTATTATTATGAAACATGACGTTACGGTTCCTCGTACGCGACGCAACGAAGGGTGCAAGGGGAACGGCAAGAGGAAAACTCGTAAACAGCGTAAACGCGCCACTTACGGCGAGCATAAATAATGAACGGTGAACGAATCTGTCGAGCTTCTCTATCGACTCGCTAGAATTCAAACAAACAGACCCGCGGGGAAACGCTGCGATTTCAAGCGAGCGCTTGCTAAGAAGATCGAACACGGCTATAACAAATCTCTTTTCGGCGACGGCACCCTTGAAAACGCCAATGTTTTGTCGACGTTCCGCGCGTCGCGGTGTTGGGACTGAATGGAAAAAGTTGTGCCAAAAACAACATAAATTTTCAAGGTTAAATGACACGTTCGTACTACATGCTCTCTCTCTCTCTCTCTCTCTGTCTTTTTCCCTTGTTCTACCAAACGTTTCAGCATCAACGTAAAAGTGCTATCAAAAGTCTCGTTGCTGTCAAAAGTTCTTTGATTTCTGCACAACTATTTCATTCGCAGAATGTTCCAACGTTTTTGCCACGCAACCGCAAAAGGGAATTCTGCGTGAAAAGATGAGAGAGTCGTTGCACAGATAACTTTGTATTCGAAAAAGAGACAATCGAATTCGATTCGAAATTTCGTTTCGAATCGTTTCTATTTCCCTAATTCTATATTTCTCTGATTCTATATTTCTCCCTCTCTCGCTTTCTTTATTTATCTAATTCTCTATTTCTCTCTCTTCCTCTCTCTCTCTCTCATTCTCTCTCTCTCTCTTTCTCTATTTCTCTAATTCTATATTTCTCTCTCTTTCTTCCTTTATTTCTCTAATTCTCTATTTCTCTCTTCCTCTGTCTCTATCTCTCTTTCTCTATTTCTCTAATTCTATATTTCTCTCTCTCTCTTCCTCAATTTCTCTCTTTTTCTACTTCTCTATTTTTCTATTTTTCTCTCCTTTTTTCTCTATTTCTCTTATTCTCTATTTCTCTCTTCCTCTTCTTCTTTATTTCTCTAATTTCTTTCTATATTTCTCTCTGTTTCCTCTTCTGTTTCTCTTGCTCTCTCTCTCTCTCTCTCTCTCTCTCTCTCTCTCTTCCTCTGTCTCTATTTCTCTAATTCCATAGAATTCTACATTCGATTCGAAATTTCGTTTCGAATTCGATTTCTCTTTTTCGAATACAAAGTTATCTGTGCAACGACTCTCATATCTTTTCTCAATTTCCGGGAGCTTTCGTCGGGTTTCCGGGAGCTTCGCGCCGCGAATATCGGGACACCGTGTACGCGGCGGTCGGCGGGCGCCGCGGCGCTGCCGCCGTCCATTCATCTGTAGTATCCGGGCCGAAAGAAAGCCGTTTCCTCGGTGTTGGTACAGAGAACGAGTGTACGGCCCTGAGATCGCGGCTTCGGGCGGCGAGGTCGAATATAAAGAGCGGCGATGCCTGAAACCAAACGAAACGACGCCCCCGCTACTCGCCCGCTAGAAATAGCGTCGCGACGTTCGCGAGCACGTGCGCGTCTCTATCCCTCTCCCTCTCTCTTCCTCTCTCTCTTTATCCTCTTCTCTTTCTCGCCGTGTTTAGAGCCGTTGGGAATTTTCGCCGGCGGCGTTCGCGCACAGGATTACGACGAAAGGGGCTCTCTCTCTCTTTCTCTGTTTCTCTAATTCTATATTTCTCTCGAGAGAGATCTCTCTCTCCTTTTCTCGCTCTCGCTTTATTTCTCTCGCCCTTTTTCTCTATTTCTCTAATTCTGTATTTCTATCTCTCTCTTTCTTTATTTCTATTGCTCTCTGTTCCTTTGTTTTTATTTTTCTCTATTTCTCTAATTCTGTATTTCTATCTCTCTCTTGCTCCCTCTTCCTTTATTTCCCTATTTCTCTAATTCTATATTTCTCTCTCTTGTTCTCTATTTCTCTAATTCTATATTTCTCTCTCTCTTTTTCTCTATTTCTCTAATTCTATATTTCTCTCTCTCTATTTCTCTGGCTCTCTCTTCCTACATTTCTCTAATTCTATGTTTCTCTCTCTCTCTCTCTCTCTCTTTCTATTTCTCTGGCTCTCTCTTCCTTTATTTCTCTTTCTCCGATTCTCTATTTCTATATTTCTCTCGCTCTCTTCCTCTACTTCTCTCTCTTTTTCTATTTCTCCCGCTCTCTCTTCCTCAATTTCTCTCTTTTTCTTTTTCTCTATTTATTTCTATTTCTCTTATTCTCTACTCCTCTTCCCTCTTTCTCTTCTATTTCACTTATTCTCTATTCCTCTTCCCTCTGTCTCTTTTTCTATTCCTCTTACCTCTTTCTCTTCCTCTATTTCTCTCTTCCTCTTTTTCTTTATTTCTCTAATTTCTTTCTATATTTCTCTCTGTTTCCTCTTCTTTATTTTGCTCTCTCTCTCTCTCTCTCTCTCTCTCTCTTCCTCTATTTCTCTCTCTCTCTTCCTCTATTTCTCTCTCTCTCTCTCTCTCTCTCTCTCTCTCTCTCTCTCTCTCTCTCTGCGAGTTTCTGGACCCCGCGGAGCCCGACACCCGGTGAAANCTCTCTCTCTCTCTCTCTCTCTCTCTCTCTCTCTCTCTCTGCGAGTTTCTGGACCCCGCGGAGCCCGACACCCGGTGAAAAAGCTCGGAGAACGAACACAATATTGCGCAATCCTTCGTTGCGTTACTCGACGTCAACCGCACGCGCATGAACGAAGTGTTCCAGCTCGATAAAAGCAGCTCGGTATACTAAAATGATGTTTTACTGTAATTTTATATATTTATTTATTGATTTATTTATTTATCTATATTTCAATATTATTATTATTATTATTATTATTATTATTATTTACTTTCAATATCGGAAGAACCGTGACGGATTTGCTCTTTTCATTCGAAACCATAAATGGCAAGATCGATTTACTATATAATTTACTATGTACTATATAATATTATATTATATATGCTATATACTATATAATATTATATTACATATACTATACATTTCTCGCGATAAATGTACAAAAATCCGCAGTCTAGTAATAACCATAACAAATGACAACAATTAATAGGACTCTCGCTACGATAGAAAAACGCAGAATAAAGAAGCACGATGCCCGGAGTTAAAAAATCATTATCGGACCTTGAATACCGTGGAGCCTGGGTCTAATCAAATTATTGCCATAATTAATTAACGAATCAATTATACCGTAATATCCAGCAGTCGTTCCAATCGTTGGCAGACATTACGCAACCGAGAGCCACGCCTTTCTTTTCCGATCGACTCGGCTTCAGTTCAGGAGCAATGGTACGAAACGACGCGTATTCCCCGAGGAAAAGAAAAGAAAAGAAAAGAAATGGAAAGAAAAGAAAAGAAAAGAAAAAAAAAGAAAAGAAAAGAAAAGAAAAGAAAAGAAATGTTCGAAATAGTCGATAAAATCACGTTTCGTCCCCGGGTCTGCTGGCCGGGACTCGTCGGTAAGGCGAACCTAGCAGACCCTGCCTTAGACGCGCGCGACTCGCCGATATCAGTCGATTCCTTGTTTATTGCTTCATCGTGGTAATCGTACGTCAAGAAATCCGATCGGGCGATCATCGTTCGCGGGCGGTTAAGCTAATCCAACGATTCCTGTTTTCGAGAATGTTTTTGCCCAACGTCTGATCCACCGTGCTCTCTCTCTCTCTCTCTCTCTCTCTCTCTCTCGACAGTTTCATTATTTCATCCGCGAACTTGTCCACGCTGGAACTCGATTTGGCAATTGTTTAAAGCGTTTCGTCTCCGGGTCTGCTAGCGGGACTCGTCGGTAAAGCGAATCTAACAGACCCTGCCTTAGACGCGACCGTCTTCCTTTCCTTTCTTTTTTCTTTCCTTGTTCTTTATCTTTTTTTGTTTATTTTCCTTGTTCTTTATCTCTATTTTGTTTATTTTTCTTTTATTTTCCTTATTCCTTATCTTTTTTATTTATTTCTCTCTTCTTTTCCTTATTCCTTATATTTTTTATTTATTTCTCTCTAGTTTTCCTTATAATCCTTATATTTTTTATTTATTTCTCTCTTCTTTTCCTTATTCCTTATATTTTTTATTTATTTCTCTCTAGTTTTCCTTATAATCCTTATATTTTTTATTTATTTCTCTCTTCTTTTCCTTATTCCTTATATTTTTTATTTATTTCTCTCTTCTTTTCCTTATCCCTTATATTTTTTATTTATTTTTCTGTTCTTTTCTTCATTCCTTATTCTTTCAGATTTATTTTTCTTTTCTTTTCTTCATTCCTTATTCTTTCTGTTTTATTTTTCTTTTCTTTTCTTCATCCCTTATTCTTTCTGATTTATTTTTCTTTTCCTTCCTTCATTCCTTATTCTTTCTGTTTTATTTTTCTTTTCCTTTCTTCATTCCTTATTCTTTCCAATTTATTTTTCTTTTCTTTTCTTTTTATATTTTTCTCCTCTTTCTTTTCCTTATTCCTTATTTTTTCTTTCTATATTTGTCTTTCTTCTCTTTTCCCCATTCCTCATCTTTCTCTCCTTTTATATTTTTCTTTCCCTTATTCCTTATCCTTATCCTTTCCATATTTTTCCTTCTTTCGTTTTCCTTATTCCTTATCTTTTCTTTATTAATTCTCCCCTTCTTTCCTCTTGACATAACCTTTCTTTTCCATTTTTTTCCATCGTCATTCCATTCCATTTTCTCTCTCCTCTCGTCCTCCGATCGTTCGTTCGATTCTACCACCGACATCGTTTACCATTTTCGCCCCTGATATCCCAGCGACCGAGCGTCGCTGTTTAAAAACGCGACGCATCGACGCGAGCGATTTTTCAAATCGCGCGATTCCCGTCGAGTCGACGGCGACTGCGACGTTGACGGCGACGTTGACGGTGAGAGCGACGCCGGCAATGACAGCGACACAGCTCCCGACCATCTGGCATCGACAGGTGTCCATTGGCACAACGGCCCGATCCTCCCGTGTCCATCAATTTCGCAAGCACGAGCGTCGACGAGCTTTCGAGAGACGACGGCTCCACGGCTCCAGAGATTCGGCTCCAGAGATACCCTAACAGCTGTGATGCCCTAACAGCGAACGAAGGGTCGCGGCCCGGAGGGACACGACCGCCTGGTCCACGGAGATGGATAAATCAAGCTCGAGTGCCGGGTGCTCGCGATAAGTATTGATTCGCGGACGGAACAGCCGATCGCGGATAACGCGAACGTGTACCAGACCGCCTTGGTAAATTATTTTTACCGATTTTTATAAGAGATAATATTTTATTTCGCGTTGTTTACATTTTCGTTTTTCCTACGTATTAACTTCTTTAATGGCGAAGCGGTTCTTCCAGGAATGAAGGAGTTAAATCTATTTTCACGAGAAACGCGAGATTTGACTCGATTTTTTAATCGATTTGACTCGATTTTTGATCGAGTTTTGACTCCATTTTTGATTCGAGCTTTGAGTCGATTTTTGATTCGAATTTTGACTCCATTTTTTATTCGAGTTTTGACTCGATTTAACCAGTTTTTACTCGATTTTACTCGATTTGACTAGATTTCACTCGATTTAACTTGATTTTTGACTCGATTTGACTTGATTTTTGACTCGATTTGACTCAATTTTTGACTCGATTGTTTATTCTAGTTTTGACTCAATTTAACCAGTTCTTACTGGATTTCACTCGATTTGATTAGATTTGACTTGATTTTTTATTTGATTTGACTTAATTTTCGACTCGATTTGACTTGATTTTTTAATAGATTTTACTCGATTTTGTATTCTATTTTTGGACTTGATTTTTGACTCGATTTAACCAGCTTTTACTGGATTTCACTCGATTTGATTAGATTTTACTTGATTTTTTATTTGATTTGACTTAATTTTCGACTCGATTTGACTTGATTTTTTAATAGTTTTGACTCGATTTTTTATTCTATTCTTGGACTCGATTTTTGACTCGATTTAACCAGTTTTTACTGAGTTTCACTCGATTTGATTAGATTTGACTCAATCTGACTAGATTTGATTAGATTTGACTCGATTTGACTCGATTTGACTCGATTTGATTAAATTTGAATCAATTTGATGAGATTTGACTCGATTTGATTAGATATGACTCAATTTGATTAGATTCGACTCGATTTGACTTGACTCCACCCAATTTGATTACATTTGACTCGTTCTTTGACTCGATTCAACCTCGACTCGATTCGATTTGACTCGACTCGACGCGATTCGACTCGCGGAAAATTCTGAAGGCGGGACGCGTGAAAACGAAAAGGGAACTTACCAGTGAGTTTGTCGCGGATCAGCTTGCAGCTCTCCACCTCGCCGATACTCGAGAATAGCGAGCGGATCTCATCCTGTGTCATGCTCTGGGGCAGGTAATTTACAATGAGATTCGTCTTGGACTCTTCCTGCGGGGCCTGTCCGAGGGTGGATCCACCGTTTTGTTGCACGATCGTGTCCATTCCGTTCGACATCATTGCACTCTCCTACCGGCACCTCTCTAACTACGTACGAAATCTGAAACGGATAGAAACGGGCAAACGTGTATTACGGTGCTAAAAACGTGTCCGAAAATTCGAAGTCGTTCGATTTCACTGTCCTGCAACCGCTCTCGTCGACGTAACCGCGAACGAAGATAATCGAACCCGCTAAATTTCGGTAGATTGGAATTGCTTCGATAACGGGACCGAACGGAAGGTCGCGCAGCAGCACATAATTCATCGGGTCACAGGTGAAGAGAGTAACGGATCAAATTGCATTCGACGCGCGCGTTATCGAATTATTCGAATAAAAGTCTCTCTAGATAGAAATTTATTTAGATAGAAGTTTATTCGAATAGAAGTTTAGTCGAATAGAAATTTAGTCGAATAGAAATTTGTTCGAATAGAAATTTATTCGAATAGAAGTTTATTCGAATAGAAGTTTATTCGAATAGAAGTTTATTCGAATAGAAATTTAGTCGAATAGAAATTTATCTAGATAAAAATTTATTCGAATAGAAATTTATCTAGATAAAAATTTATTGGAATAGAAATTTATTCGACTAGAATTGTATTCGACGCTGTCGAATATTTAATCGAATACAAATTTATGCAGATAGAAATATATTCGAATAAAATTGTATTCATCGTTGTCGAATATTTAATCGAATAAAAATTTATACAGATCGAAATATATTCGAATAAAATTGTATTCGTCGCTGTCGAACATTTAATCGAATAAAAATTCATCTAGATACAAATTTGTCCGAATTAAAATTGTATTCGACTAAGAATTTATTCGTACAGGAATTCGTACGGAAAATAATTAATTTAAATAAAAATGGTATAATATAAAGTGCTTTTCCATAGTTTATCGTTTCATTTATTCTCGAATTACTCGAACAAAGAAACTCTCGAATCATTCGAACGAAGTCTCGAATCATTCGACTAAACACAGATAGAACAATGATTATGACGAACAGTTCATTTAACAAATAAATAAATAAATAAATAAATAAATAAATAAATAAATAAATAGAATAATCGACGAGGGGAACGACGAACAGTGCGAATAAAATATTCGACTAAAACGAGAAGCGCCCCGTTCGAACGAATTATCTCGGATAAATATTTATTCGAGGCAATCCGGAATAAAGCCGAACCGCGGCGTGTAAACACCGTTGCGGCGAGAGAATGTTCGAAGGACGGAAAAAACGTCTGCCGAACCAAAACAGTGTCGCCGATGCACAAGACTCTGGAACGACGGGAAAAGAAAGAGAATGCGAGAGTAGAAAGAGGAGAAAGCGCGACAGTAGAAATACGAAAGTCGGGAACAGGATAATCCATGGTTTTTGCGATCCTGTACTGTAGAGAGAGGAACGACGGGAGCGCGCGCGTGGCAACAGCAGTTTTTCCATCGCGAAACAAAAATATTGTGAATATACAGCGCTTCGTTTGTTCGGGCGTGCCGCGGATCCCGTTCGATCGGAGGAAGAATTCGTTCGCGCGAGACTTCCTTCGTGTCGATGCTCGTGTAACGACCCAAAAATTCCGCCCCCTTTCCCGTATAAATCACATCCCCAAAATTTCCGGACATTATGCTCCGGACATTGATAAGATACCAAAGTAATATAAAAAGGCCGAATATATATATATATAATCCTCAATATAGCAGTTAGTCTTGAATTAGTCTCGAGTGAGTGTCGAACCAACCGTTTAGAGTGCGCATATTAAAGTTTATATACTTGTAAATTGTATATGTTAAATTTTAAATCTTATTTTTTGTATCCTTTAAACCTTGAATCCTCCGCGTACTAATCGGTTAAAATAAATAAGTAATATATATAATATATATATAAATGATATTATATATATTATTATATATTATAATTATAATATTATTATATTATGTATATATTATATATTATATAATATAATAATATATATTATAATAATATAAATAATATAATAAATAATAAAATTAATATATATATAAGAATATTGTAATATATGTAAATTGTAATACTTGTGTAATAATAAAAGTTGATGTTGGGCTACGGCTCAACATTATTTTTTTTTATATTTTCTGTCCGTATTTTACGCGACACTCGCGCGGTCATCCGACGATAGAAAATAAAAAAAGAAACGTTTCTACGATACGGCCGTGTGCCATGCGTCGATTAACCCTTTGCACTTCGCTGTCCCCTCTCGTGGGACATCGTAATTCTAGCATATCACTCGGATGTCCCCTCTCGTGGGACATTCAAGTTTATTAGCGATTACGGGGAATTGAGTTATTTCAGCGCAACTTTTTCAGACATGCATGTTTCCCTGAAGTTTTCTCTTGAAACGGCGCAAGAAATCAAATCAAAATATAGTAAAATTACTAAGATATATACAAGAAATGTCAGCGGGTTTCGACGTGAACGCGAGAGGCGTGCTCACGACGGTCCGAGCACTTCAAAGGCGCCACTTGAAAAGAGCGATAAGGCAAGTTTGTAGAAGAAAGATCGGTATGCGAACATAGCACGCACTGTATAGGGAGATTTATAATCATAAAATCTGGAGGAAAAGATTTTCAAAGCTGAACTCGGTCTGGTTCGAAGCGTCGAGCGGTATAGATAGATCTAACGAGTGAGAAAATCGGAAAAGTGATTCTTCTCTTGGTAAATAAATTGTTTGGTAAAAGTTTTTTTGGTAAATATCATCTTGTGAGTTAGTAATAACAATTAGAAATTGTCAACCTATGTATTTATTCATAATTTTTATTAGAACAATGGCAAAACGTTCGAACACGAATGAGTCTCGTGACACAAGTGGTAGCGAAGATGAGCTCCAGATAGACGTTTATACAGATATGTTAGAAAAACTAACTGTAGAAGGTTTTCTTCTACAGTTAGTCTATCGTTTTGATAGCAGCGACAGCGATATCGTCCAAGCAACAAGGCGACGAGAGAAAGAGTTCGCATAGGTAGCGATTACAACAACAAAACAAAATTATAAAACAAACGATAACAAAATTATAAAAAATAAAATACTGACTTTTTTGCAAATTTCTCGACTTCAGCCAATTCATAAAAGTCCAATATCATTATAATATGTTAGTTAGTTCCAAAACCATACTAAATAATACGAGGGTCTGTAAATGCCTGTTTCTGCCGAAAAGTGGCGCTGAGTAGCTGCTAGCCAACGTCCAGAATGGTTCGGAGTGCTAAGGGTTAACACTTTCAGCGCCGACGATCGACCACTACAATTTCCGCGAAGTCAAAGCAGTTTAATAAATTGAACCTAAACTAGAATGTTGAAGTTTATCACAGTGGATGGCACTAGAACTCTTTCGCATCCGAAACATCCTAGTCAAGTTCAGTTTGCTCGAATTTGTTACTATTATATTAATGAGAATGAATGTTCAAAATTGGTCAAAAACTAGTGTCACCCATATGCGACCGACGCGGCACTCGACGTGTTAACCGGAGCGAGCAAAAGGTGTTCCGTGTTTCTGTGTTCCTGTCGTCGGAGCAACAATGAGAATTCGGCGCTAAGCGGCGCGTGGAAAGCGCTCGTTACCGGTTTCCCAGAATTAAACGAGCGATTCTTCAACCCCCTTATCGCCGGAGAGCCCGGCGAACTTCCATTCTGTTTTCTCGTAATTAACGTTTGATCACTTGCCGAGCCGCGCGCCTCGCCGTTTCGTCACGCGATTACTTTCTATACGCGTAGAAACGACGTCGCGAGCATCGCGCACGCTACGAAAAGCTTCCGCGAAAATCATTCAATACCGCTGCATTTGCTACAGCAATAAAGGTCGTATTAAACTGTATTCTCCTTTCCTTCTTGGAATCCCAAAAATGTCTCGCAATCCGAAAGTGGCGGGTTCCTCGGGTCATTTGAAGCAACTTTTTCCTTTACAAAAATGTTCTCCGAGATTGTTTCCGAATTGCGAGACATTTTTGGGACACCCTGTATATATAACTGCGCTTTTGTGGCGCATTATATTAAAAAATATAAATATTATAATATATATAATTGCGTCACGAGAGCGCAGTTATATTATATTAAATAATATAAATATTATTATTGTATTATATATATAATTGCGCCACGAGAGCGCAGTTATATTATATTAAATAATATAAATATTATTATATATATAATTGCGTCACGAGAGCGCAGTTATATTATATTAAAAAATACAAAAATATTATAATATATATTATATATTAATATTATATATTATATATTATATAATTATATATTATATAATATATATTATAATATATAAAATAATATATATATAATTGCGCCACGAGAGTGCAGTGATATTATATTGAATAATATAAATATTATAGTATATATATATATACACACAGAGTGCGCAAGTTCGCAGTTCCGTGGCGGGACTTAGGCGAGCGAAACGAAGTCGAGTGTTCGTGTAGGATCTCGCTGGAGAAATTCGTCGCGGCAAGTGGAAACGACCAGCAATGCACGGACAGGCTAAAACGTCGATGGCGGCGCCGATTAATTTCCTTCCAGCTCTCGCGCCATCGTCGTGCATCGCCGTGAATAATTTAAGTAGAATAAGGGGACTCGTTCAAGCTCCAAGTGACTCTTCTACTACCCTTAACACGCGAGGACTTCGACTTATCCCCCAACCTTCTTTTTTTTTTTTCATTAGACCGTATATATCCGACATTCCCCTACGAGCAAATTAACACGTTCGCTCTGGCAACGTCACTGGCCGTGCGTAGTTATATTTATTGCATTTAACGTTTCAAATACATCGTATCCGCTCATACAGAATTACTTTGTATTATTCGATGTTTGTTTGTTTTTATTGCACTCGTGCGTCGACTATATGGAATCTCATTGCTTTTATTATTTCTTTTGTGGCAAAGGGGGGGTTCTTCTATCCGTGCAAATGAACAAATAAATGCAATCAAATGAAATTAAAAATTAAATTAAATTAAATTAAAAAACTGAAATGAAATGAAATGAAAATATTAAATTAAATTAAATTTAAAGAATGAAATGAAATGA